GCGGCGCTGATGGAGCGGCCGTGGCCAGGCCTCGGCCCTGCGTCGCTGCTGGCCGGGCTCCTGTGCCGCCGGGGGCTGTGGGGCCTGGCTGACATTTTATGGCAAATATTTACCCCATTAGCTGAGCCGCAGAGGGGGGCGGCCGCCTGCTAAGTGCTGGCCGGGAGGAGTGGCCCTGGCCGCCAGACACTGGGCCCATTCATCCCGCTGGCCTGGGCTGCAGGCGGACGCGGGCGCTAATGGAGCTGACCTTACCGCGGGCAGTGGACCGGAAAGGTGTTTGCTGAGGGCTCGGCGTGTCCATCAGCGCCGCCTGCGGGGGTGGGGGGGCCCAACACGGCCCCCCACGTCACCCTCGGCAGTGGCCGCGCCGCTGCGGCCAGCGTCGCCGCGGCTGCCTGCACCCCAGAGCGGGGCAGGACTGGAGGGCAGAGGCAGTGGGCAGGGGGGGCGCATGGAGGGACACAGGCCTGCACCCGTCACACAGCGTGGCCCCGGCCAGTCACTGATTGGCGACAGCTCCGCCGGGCAGCTCGGTGGCCACCAGTGTCCCTGCCTCCAGGGCCTGGGGGCTGCAGGGCGGGAGGCCGGGCCACCGTCAGGTCCGGCGGCCACTGGGCGAGGGGCTGGGCAGCGCTGGGCGGCCGGACTCACCTGAGGCCGTCGGCCACGTGCAGGGCGATGCGGTGCTGCAGGACGCGGGGGAGGCCGGCGGGGCCCTGCTCCAGCAGCCGGTCCAGCGAGCCCCTGGCCGCCAGCTCCATGACCAGCACACGTGGGCGGATGCCGGCCGCCAGCAGGGACACGAGGCTGGGGTGGTGCAGGCGACAGAGCACCGCCAGCTCCTGCGGGGATGCGGCCCTCAGGCTGCGGCCAGCGGCGCGAGGGAACCCCACACCGGCCCGGCCGGCCGGCAGCACGTGGCCAGGAGCCCTCCTCCAGTGTCCGGGGCGCTCGGCAGCTGGGCCACGGGGCTCACCCACCCGGAGGCCCGCAGGGACCACCCAGCCCCTCCGCGGCCACGCCCACACAGCAGCCCGTCAGTGGCCACACCCACCAGGTGGCCACGCCCACACAGCAGCCCGTCAGTGGCCACACCCACCAGG